CACATATGCTTCCTGGACATAGAATCACCACAAAAGTTTTTAACTTTTGAGAAGTAACATTTTTCCATACTCTTAAGAATATTTGTTCATGTACGTAGAAATTACCTTAAGAGTCCATAACTTTATAAATTGCTTTCGCTGAACTTTCAGATCTGGTATAGTTGACAAAAAACTCACTTCATCAGTACTGTAAAATCTTTTCGCAAGTGATAAGACATTATGTTTTATCTTCCTTTCCTTGTCTTCAACATCAATACCAACCTACAGTCGTAATACAATGTAACTGTTTTAAATTTAAATGCAAGAAACAGCCGACACCGCAAATTTTGGCAAAAAAACGGTATGTGTTTGCCTAAGTATAAGACTTACCGGAACATGTACTGTCACCCCACAGGCAATTAATGAATCTGTGTGAGAAAGGTTGAAATGCAATGGTGGGTTATTACAGTTCTTCTGATTCTGCCAATCTACCTGTAAGGAATTCAAACAACACATGAATTTCTCGCACTAAACCCAGACTAAAAGTCTAATCTGGTCTCACATAACTATCTCACCTCAGGCTTCCCATACAGATTCTTCTTGAACATCAATGACCGAGGATCGACCACATAGTTTGTTTGATCTAATAATAAAACCATTACAATTAATGACACGCAAACTCGTTAGAGGCTGCCTAACATCATCCTAAAAACAGGCCAGGTTTAAGAAATTAAGATGATCAATAAACAAAACCTAATGGGAAACTCCAGTGTCATGAATCAAGCAAAAAGAGAAAATGATTGATATCAAATGGAAAGTATAAGAGAATTAGCATACATCTAGCAATGGTGGTCCGAACCAAGATGCGGGCAAGCAAAGCATTCTTCTTAAGCTTATTGCCTTTCATCTGAACAACTTTATCTTTCTCGGACGGTGACAAAAATTGAGAGTATTGTTTCAGAAGAGATGTACTTTTCACTTCATTTGGTAGAATATACCATAGGTGAGTCTCCCTACATGAAATGAATAACACAATAAAAATGTCCATAACCAACAAAATCAAAGAAACCAAATGTTGTAAACTGACAAAAGTGTGGAAGATAAACTTGATCACTATTAAACCAAAAATCCATCCATGACAAGAATTTATCATAATTCGATAATATCAAATAAAAATCTTGAACATACACATTGAGCTACTTACATACGAGATGGAAGTTGCAGAGGAACCAGTGAAGGCAATTCGATAGAGAAACTCCGCTGCATTTTCGGCAAGACACTGATTCTCATAAACTCCAAAAGCTTATGCGTAAGTCCTACTCTAAAAGAATCTCAGAATCGCCACCTTACGAATCAAACAAAATGGAAAGATAAACAAAAAAATTCATCAGCAATCGGAATCAATAACAAACAGCCGTTGAAGAATCAACCTAGAATCTCAAGAACTAGTAATCGACTCGATTTGAAACCAACTATTCAAATAACATAGTACAATACCCAAATCGACTGGCGGAGACAGCGAGAGATCAATTACAATCACACTTAATTCTCCAATGTCCCTCGTCGGTGATCAGAGGTGAGATAACCTAACCGACGGGGATAACGGGAAGATGAAATACGTTTTCGGTTTTAGCTAGGAGTCCCAACTATATCAGAGCCAAATCGAATCACATTTCAAACCAAATGGGTTTTGTTCATTCTTAAATCGAATTAAACCGAACCAATCATGATATGCTAGTCTTTTATTTCTTAACTCTAATTCATATCTATAATTAATGAATCGAATGGTCTATATATTTTTCAATTTTCATCTCACTTTAGATGCTAGCAGGAGAAAACTAAGTGAAATCTATGAAGTTATCTCATCGCAGATCTCAGTTCATTACAGACTAATGAAAACAAAATTCTCATGAACAGATGAGTGTTAGAGAGAGAAAAAGCTTACCATGTTCAACAATGGATGAGAAGAGAACGAAACGCTGAGGTTTTTGGACGATGATGCTCTTCTCTGGAAGCTGACAGTGGAAACAAGAGGACTTTCACGGCGCTACAAAACTGCTTTATATATTAGGGTTAACATCGGGACGCTTATGACAATTGACGTAATTACCCTCAGCGCTTTAATTCCTCCTTACGTATGGTCGTCATGTGAACTTGTTAAAAAGTGATACAGTATCTTGGACTTGAACTTATTATTCTTCCTCTCCCCATAATTGCTTTGGTCTCGTAACGAAACTCACTAGTGTTGTTCCTTGTGAGGAGACAGCGTCGTAAACTCTTTTGTTCCGTTACAGCTTTAGAATAGCACTCACTAGTGTTGTTCCTTGTGAGGAGACAGCGTCGTGAACTCTTTTGTGCTATTCTAAACCTTTGAGCCAAA